TTTCCTATAAGGAGCAACTCTAGTTAATTCTTCTTTTTGTTCTGAGATATCTTTTTTGTTTTTTCTTTTTCTTGAAGAGACTGTAGTAAATCCTTCTTCAAGATTTTTAGTTTGCAGGTGTGACTTATTGTTGTTTGTAATAAGTACAATTGGAGTTCTTGGTGAGTTAGAATCTTCAATTTCTATAGCAGTTTCTGCTTGTATACTCTTAGTTGTGATGTTCTCTTTGTTGCTGTTATCAAGAGTTCTAACTGATGAGGTTTTTATATTTTCTTTTTCTATAACAAGGTTTTCTGAATTCCGGTTCTCCATATTAGAGAAGCTATTTTCTAGGGTTTTATCTGTTTGGAAGGTCTTAGGTTCTGTATCTTTAACAGAGAAGGTGGAGTCTTATTAGTTTGTTTCTTCATCATCTAATTCAATATGAATGATTTTACCTTTCTTTTTGCTAGCAAGAAATTCTTTATGCTGCTGACGGAGTAGTAAGGCTTCTTTAAACTGAGGACATTCTTATTTAATATGCCTTTCTTTGTTATAGAAGTAACAGAGTTTAGGAGCAGAACGCTATTCTATAGTAACTTTATTATTGAAAATAACTTCAAAGCATAGAATTCTCTCTTCAAGATCTGAGTTATCAGTGGTCTCGAAGGTGACTATCATTGGTCTGTCAAATAGGAAGTACCTTCAATTAAGAGAGGTTTAATTGAAATGATATTACTTATATTATCAATGACCTCTTTGATTTCATCAGAAATATCCTCTTTATTACTCAAAGGTACATTTCTGACTTTAACTGAGAGGAAGGACCTTCTCATATCAATTAGAATATAGCCATAATAGGTCTTATTAAACATTTCAATTCCTTTTGTAGCATAATACTTGAGTTTTTCCTCACTAGCAAATATTAGCTCAAAATAAGTACATATACCTCTACTAATATGTAGCTTAGCAGTGATAATATCACATGCTGCTCTTTCATAGAGATAAATTATGATTTTGTTCAAAGAGCTATTGAGGTTTTGTATATCCAAAATGAGGACATTATCATTTTTTGATTTTATATTATTTCTTGAAGAGAAAGAGGTAAAGGTTAATTAACCTCTCTTAACTTTTGCAAATAAACTTGACTATAGTCTTTGCAAAGTTTCATTGTTGTTGTTTGTTGTACTTTTTTTAGATTCTGTTAGAGATGAATCATGTAAATTTGGACGTGTTGTTTTTGTTGTTGTTTGAATCTCAGTATTTTGACTTTCATTATATGCTTTAGAGCTAGATACGATACTCATGTTGTTTTTGTTTTGTTGTTTTTTTTCTAAACTTTTAGTGCTATTTTCTTGAGAAACTTGTTCGTCCTAGCTAAAAGTATTAGCTAAAGAGGTATTTTGTTATACTGAGCTAGTTGATGTAGTTTGGTTGCTTGTTGCTTCCATAATTTCTTTGTCAGAATATAAAACTACTTTATCCTCTAGAAGTTGTTCTTTCAACGAAAAACTTCTAGTGAGCTTAATTTTTTTATTTGTTGAAACTTCTGTGAAAGAAGTTTTGTGCTTGCTAGGAACTAGGGAAGAGCTCCTGTTCTGTTACTGTTTTTAGAGTTAGTATTGTCTTGTGTAGAAATTATTTTGTCATCTCTAAAAAACCCTCAATCCTAATTTTTGTAGTCAGGAGAGAGAGTGTGTCGATCCTCTTTTAAATTAAATTTAAATTAAGGATAGATTAGGAAAAACTCTAAGGTATTAGTCTTAGTATTATTAAATACTTATAGTAAGAGAATATCCATATAAGAACCAATTTTTGGTTAAATTAGAGATATTAGATAGAGATTGTAGTTGAGTTATTTGAAGTAGATTTGTTGAGAATAAAGGTAGGAAAGAAACTTTTTTTTTTTTAGCTTTTAGTATTATATATTTTTTTTAACCTTTTTAGCAAGTCATACTAATACTTTATTTACAATAAATTTTGTGCTTGACAAAAATATTAGAATACATATTTACTCACAATATATCTAACTATGCAATTTTTTAAGTATTAACTTACTCAGTTACCCTAAAGGTATCTATGTACAATCTGCCATGGTGAGTCTTTTCTCTCATCATTACTATTTAATTTTTTGAAAAAATAACAACAAATCCCTGAGTGGATATTGTAGCTTATCATAACTTCTCACCTATACAATAGACTACTACCAAACAGAAAATAGTTTCTCATATAGTGAAAAGGATAAATAAAAATTATATATATAACGAAAAACACAAAAGTCATATGTCATATAATATAGTTGAGTAGAGGAAACCTGCTAACAGATAAAAACCTCTAAACAACAAACAAATAAAGAAAGAAAAACAACAAACAAAGTAAAGTCCTACTACCAAAGTAGGAGACTAGATAAAAATTGTGTATATATAACACCTGAGTTATTCTTTAGATTCTCAAGGGAGTAAAGTACTATCTTACAGAGAAAATATTATCAACATGGATTTCCTATAGCACGTGTTAGGCTTAACACGTGTTTGTTGTTTGTATACAGTGTGAGAAACAACAGGCTGATATCTAATAGTGTTTGTCAATGCATGTTGCAGATCTTTTGAAGGGTAAGCTAAATCCCCAAAACATACCAAATAGTTTAGAGAAAAAAAATCCAAAAGATGAAGTTATAGGAGGCTACTTCTAGGAGAGTAAGATTTTGCTACTTGTTTTCTTATTAAATAGTACAAATATATGTTATATCTAGCTATTCCCATGCTAGCAGACTACTAGTAAGTGTCACTTAAAATAACAGAGATATTTGATAATTTTTCTTGCTTCTGCTACTACTTTTTCAATAGTACCTAAGAATTACTTCTAGATAATACAGCTAAAAAGAGCTTGCAAGGAAGGTATTCACCCACAATACGTTGTAGAACACTTAGGAAAGAATATTGTTATCTGTATAATAAAAAAGTGTTTTCACAGGTCAGGTTTTCTTTTCAGAAA